TTCGCGCAAGTGTTAATTTTAAATTTTTATATTTTACAGGCGCAATTGCATTACCTTTGGAGTTTCCCTCACCGTTCGCACTCTAAAGTGAAGCTCGGCGTAAGTGCCTATGTATGTATAGATATAATTTATAAACACAAAAAAAAAAAAAATTAATAAATTTAACGACAAAACAAAAATCTGCTCTTTTTCAGGGAGTACAATCAGGAGTCTTCATCTGACTCTGCCAAGGACTCGAACGAGGAGGGGCAAAATGGAACGGACTTACTCGGAGGATGTGGCCGTGTCTCGCCTGTGGCCCTTTCTTCGTTGTTGGAGCCCGGTCGTTGGTGGCTCGTCTCGTCGCCTTCAGGGTTGCGCCGACGCTTGGCTGGCGGCGTCGTGGATATGGCTGGTGTGCGCCGCTGAGCCGAATCCTGGCCTGTTTCGTGGGGTGCTCTGGTGCGAGAGCTGGTCCCCTCGTTGCCGGAGCCGTTAATTTTTTCTTGTTTCGTCTCTCGTCGCACTTAAGTTTTAAGTCTCTCTTTAATTTTATACATTTGGTGACTCGAACGGTTTAATTTCCATATGTTTATTAAATTGCAAAAAAAAACAAAACTAAACCGAAAATTTTATTTGGTTGTTAAGTTTTTTTGTTATTACGCGCCGGCTTAACTTGCCAGATGAAGAAAAATTCGAATCTTTTGAGCCGATATGCAAGATAAAAAAAATTTTATGCTCACTTCGAGCTGGCACGCCCGCCGTTGACCGCTGATCAAATCCAACTCCTCGTACATTTGGGCAGCAACATCATCGGTGCCGAATTTTGGCACACGCATACATTTGCGAGGCGGGCACCGTTGCTGCCCATCTGCACAGCTGCATTTTTTTTGTTTGGGTCAATGGCCCAAATGAAGGCCAAGGGCATATCCAAGGGCATGCGATCCGCTCTACCTATATCTCTTTGGGAGCGAATCGGGCGGCCAATAGGAGTCGCCCATTTTGGCGCCGTAAATCAAAAGTTTTGCGTTGCCACTCTTCAATAAATTAGGCACTGCTATGTGCCCGGCTTCACCCCCGATACTTAGGCCCTATGACAAAAAGATATCGGTGTGGCCGATAATATCGCACGCAACCACTTAAGCAAACCCTCGATGCTGCCGATAACGTCAAATGCAACATCACCACGCAGATTATTGTAACGACATGAACGACCGTTACAAGGAATCTGCGTGCGCATTTCCTCGATTGACCAAGCCGGCTAATAAGGATGCCCAACGTAGGCCACACCCACGACCCTGTTCTACACCCGTCCTTCGCATGGAACACTCCCAAGGGCTTCCCTTTTAATTTCGTTATCGTCCGCCTCCGGCGGAAAATCACCAGCTCTTCGGTCCTCCACCCAGAAGTTTCGGTTGTTGGCGCTGCGCCCGTTCCTAACCTGAGGACTCCCGACAAACCTCGGTCTGGGTGGTGTATCCCTCTTCCTACGCGCACCTTGTCTATGTGGTTTCGGCGGTACCGACGGTGAATACGCTCCGCTCTGGAGCTCTTCGTCATATGGGAAGGCACCTGTTTCCGCGTCCGGTGCGATGTGTCTTGGTGTCACCGGCTCCGAATCTGGCTCTCTGGCGTGGGTATCCAACGGTCTGAGCACGTCGATCATGTCCTAAATCATCTCTAAGAAACCCGATCGCAACTCATCTCGGATGGACTCGCTGATGCCAGATGGTAGAGCCTGCAGATAGGTCTGGTGAGCTTGTGCAATTGCCGCGTTCACTGCCGACCTGATTACGGAATCGATTGTTGGTTCTGGGAACTCTAGACTCCCTAGAGGTCCCTTCGCCGGGATCTCTTTCTTCGGAACTCTCCGTTCCTCAGCCATAATTGACTCCTAACCGCAAGGCAATAACCTAACTTTTAATAGCACCAATACATATTGATCTTACCGACCCTTACCACTATTTATAAATTAATAGATGATTACACCAAATTCCCTATCGACGACAAATCTTTCTAATATTTACCTAAATTTATATAAATGGATACATAAATAAATAAATAACCACAATATTCTCTATCGCCGAATCTCTATCTATCTCTATAGCACATCCCAAACGTTAACACAGAGTGGGACAAAACAAATAGAAAACATTAAACAAACTCTAGTAAGACCTACCCTAATATCACATTCTATCACAAGTTATTTTGTCGTGGCGGCTACCACCAGGCTACGATAAACGGTCGCGAACGTTTCGCCAACATGCGAACGTGACTTACCGTCATCAACCACTACAAGAAAACTTCTCATGTTTATGGATATTCTCTACTTCCGTCGTGCTTCTCGGATTCCATTACACGCTGCGCGATTATGAGCTACCTACTCGTGCCACATAAGACTTCAGCGGTGTGGGTCCTGAAGCCAAGGGAGTCCTTTTCTCTGTACCTTCATTTATATCGTATTAATTTTTCCTTTGATTACACACCGACTTCAAAGAAGCCGAGTGCTTCTTCAATTTGGGCGCCATATTGTTACGGAACTGCTTGTTTCTCAGTGGGCCGCGCCGGCTGGCTCATCGGATTCTCTGGGTGTAGTCCCATCCCTGGCCTGCAGTCCGCACAATCGATAACAACAAAGCTACACGTCTGTAGCAAAACAGACTCACACAACACTATTCAAAAATGAACCACATGATCGATAACCAATATTCGGAACTGCTAACTCATGAACAAAATAAACAGCTGTAACAACTATGAAAATGTAAACAACAAAGGTGAGACACTCAATATAAATTAACAAAAAACACTATTTATCCACCTTATTCTTGCAGATCGGGCCCCGGTTCCGGACCCAGCATACTGCTCACTTCGAGCTGGCACGCCCGCCGTTGACCGCTGATCAAATCCAACTCCTCGTACATTTGGGCAGCAACATCATCGGTGCCGAATTTTGGCACACGCATACATTTGCGAGGCGGGCACCGTTGCTGCCCATCTGCACAGCTGCATTTTTTTTGTTTGGGTCAATGGCCCAAATGAAGGCCAAGGGCATATCCAAGGGCATGCGATCCGCTCTACCTATATCTCTTTGGGAGCGAATCGGGCGGCCAATAGGAGTCGCCCATTTTGGCGCCGTAAATCAAAAGTTTTGCGTTGCCACTCTTCAATAAATTAGGCACTGCTATGTGCCCGGCTTCACCCCCGATACTTAGGCCCTATGACAAAAAGATATCGGTGTGGCCGATAATATCGCACGCAACCACTTAAGCAAACCCTCGATGCTGCCGATAACGTCAAATGCAACATCACCACGCAGATTATTGTAACGACATGAACGACCGTTACAAGGAATCTGCGTGCGCATTTCCTCGATTGACCAAGCCGGCTAATAAGGATGCCCAACGTAGGCCACACCCACGACCCTGTTCTACACCCGTCCTTCGCATGGAACACTCCCAAGGGCTTCCCTTTTAATTTCGTTATCGTCCGCCTCCGGCGGAAAATCACCAGCTCTTCGGTCCTCCACCCAGAAGTTTCGGTTGTTGGCGCTGCGCCCGTTCCTAACCTGAGGACTCCCGACAAACCTCGGTCTGGGTGGTGTATCCCTCTTCCTACGCGCACCTTGTCTATGTGGTTTCGGCGGTACCGACGGTGAATACGCTCCGCTCTGGAGCTCTTCGTCATATGGGAAGGCACCTGTTTCCGCGTCCGGTGCGATGTGTCTTGGTGTCACCGGCTCCGAATCTGGCTCTCTGGCGTGGGTATCCAACGGTCTGAGCACGTCGATCATGTCCTAAATCATCTCTAAGAAACCCGATCGCAACTCATCTCGGATGGACTCGCTGATGCCAGATGGTAGAGCCTGCAGATAGGTCTGGTGAGCTTGTGCAATTGCCGCGTTCACTGCCGACCTGATTACTGAATCGATTGTTGGTTCTGGGAACTCTAGACTCCCTAGAGGTCCCTTCGCCGGGATCTCTTTCTTCGGAACTCCCCGTTCCTCAGCCATAATTGACTCCTAACCGCAAGGCAATAACCTAACTTTTAATAGCAATGAATTTTAATGATCTTACCGACCCTTACCACTATTTATAAATTAAAAGATGATTACACCAAATTCCCTATCGACGACAAATCTTGCTAATATTTACCTAAATTTATATAAATGGATACATAAATAAATAAATAACCACAATATTATCTATCGCCGACAAAAATAAATCACTTTCACTAACAGATGTTACAAATAATAATAACTGAAGAATTAAATAAATATCGACAACAAAACCAACTCACAACAATAATATTCCATACTTTAATTACGTTTCAAATTATTTGGGGGAGAGAAGACAAAATCCTAACACAGGCTAACTAATCTACGCATAATCTGGACAGTGGACAACATTTAAGCATTCGTCAAATGCTCAGTTCGTCAGTGTGACTGACGAACAGCATCCAAGGAACGCTACCTTGAAGGCTATTTGGTTTCTGTCGCACTTCTGGGAACCTTTAGGCATGCTGTGTGACAGGTGCGGCGCAGGATTGAATCGATATCGTCCTGGGTCACCTGGCTCCGAAGCTCATTTAACTACGGCCAGCACACACCAAACGTTAACACAGAGTAGGACAAAACAAATAGAAAACATTAAACAAACTCTAGTAAAACCTACCCTAATATCACATTCTATCACAAGTTATTTTGTCGTGGCGGCTACCACCAGGCTACGATAAACGGTCGCGAACGTTTCGCCAACATGCGAACGTGACTTACCGTTATCAACCACTACAAGAAAACTTCTCATGTTAATGGATATTCTCTACTTCCGTCGTGCTTCTCGGATTCCACTACACGCTGCGCGATTATGAGCTACCTACTCGAGCCACATAAGACTTCAGCGGTGTGGATCCTGAAGCCAAGGGAGTCCTTATCTCTGTACCTTCATTTATATCTTATTTATTTTTCTTTGATTACACACCGACTTCAAAGAAGCCGAGTGCTTCTTCAATTTGGGCGCCATATTGTTACGGAACTGCTTGTTTCTCAGTGGGCCGCGCCGGCTGGCTCATCGGATTCTCTGGGTGTAGTCCCATCCCTGGCCTGCAGTCCGCACAATCGATAACAACAAAGCTACACGTCTGTAGCAAAACAGACTCACACAACACTATTCAAAAATGAACCACATGATCGATAACCAATATTCGGAACTGCTAACTCATGAACAAAATAAACAGCTGTAACAACTATGAAAATGTAAACAACAAAGGTGAGACACTCAATATAAATTAACAAAAAACACTATTTATCCACCTTATTCTTGCAGATCGGGCCCCGGTTCCGGACCCAGCGTACCCGCCCTACCATGAGACGATCACCTACACTCGTCTCCCTCATTTTGGCCACTAGATGGCCTACATTAGCCCGTGTCGGTCATCATGCCCACTCTCCCCAACAATATGAATTTAGCCGGACATGCTTTTCTTTCAATATGTGCGTATAATTGGTTGCGTTTTCTTAAAATTTATAGCAATTATAATCATCGCTTATGGCATTTATCTTTGCAGCTATTTAGAATCTCATGCAAGTGGATATTTCGTTAACTTACAGGTGCGTATAATGGTTTGTGTATTCTTATAATTATTGGCATTAATATTTCTTTTATTTCTTTCTAATTTGCACGAGGTCTCCATTCAGATAAATTAGTATTCATGCACGTGAACATTTCTTCTCCAGGTTCGTATTAATGTTGCATATATTTATACTTATGGACAAAGTGTATTAATTTCTAAATTTTTTTCTTATCTTATAGAATTCATTTTTTTATTTTAACAGCACTAAATGGAACAGGCGACGAAATACTACAAAGATATTTCTAGTCGCCGCAAAAAGAAACAAGCAAGGGGGCATTTTAGAGGCAATCGTTGCGCCGATTTAGGAACAATGTGCCCACACAAATACTTAAAACTGGGTATGTCACGATAATCAGTCGTGCAACAGGTAGGTGATATAGATCTGTATTAAATTGCTTAATTCTACCTTATCCGACCTAAAAAGCTTTCTGGGGGTGGTAAGGGGCGATATAAGTGGGTAATTCCAATTAAGTAAGTATGTGAGCATAGTTCGCGCAAGTGTTAATTTTAAATTTTTATATTTTACAGGCGCAATTGCATTACCTTTGGAGTTTCCCTCACCGTTCGCACTCTAAAGTGAAGCTCGGCGTAAGTGCCTATGTATGTATAGATATAATTTATAAACACAAAAAAAAAAAAAAATTATAAATTTAACGACAAAACAAAAATCTGCTCTTTTTCAGGGAGTACAATCAGGAGTCTTCATCTGACTCTGCCAAGGACTCGAACGAGGAGGGGCAAAATGGAACGGACTTACTCGGAGGATGTGGCCGTGTCTCGCCTGTGGCCCTTTCTTCGTTGTTGGAGCCCGGTCGTTGGTGGCTCGTCTCGTCGCCTTCAGGGTTGCGCCGACGCTTGGTTGGCGGCGTCGCGGATATGGCTGGTGTGTGCTGAGCCGAATCCTAGCCTTTGGTATGTTTCGTGGGCCTCTCTGGTGCGAGAGCTGGTCCCTTTGTTGCCGGAGCCGTTAATTTTGTTTTTTTATTGCAAAAATAAATTGCAAAAATAAACAAAACCAAAAAATTTTATTTGTCTGTTAAGTTATTTTTGTTGATTCGAATCTGTTGAGCCGACATGCAAGATTTGAATTTTTCTGCTCACTTCGAGCTGGCACGCCCGCCGTTAACCGCTGATCAAATCGAACTCCTCGTACATTTGAGCAGCAACATCATCGGTGCCGAATTTCGGCACACGCATACATTTGCGAGGGGGCCAATAGGAGTCGCCCATTTTGGCGCCGTGGATCGTAAGTTTGGCGTTGCCACTCTTCAATAAATTGGGCACTGCTATGTGCCCGGCTTCACCCCCGATACTTAGGCCCTCTGACAAAAAGATATCGGTGTGGCCGATAATATCGCACGCAACCACTTAAGCAAACCCTCGATGCTGCCGATAACGTCAAATGCAACAAGTTAACTGAAGTGAGCATTGATTTGCAAGACGAGTTAAAAGTAATTATATTGCTGTCAAGTTTAAGCACGGAATATGAACATTTCGTTGTTGCAATGGAGACAAGAGACTCATTGCCAGATTTTGATGTACTTAAAATAAAGCTATTAGCAGAGGCTGATAGTATATCACAAAATTGTGAAATAGGTAACAACCAGCAAGCATTCTTCGTAGGCGCTCGTTCGGAGAAAAGAGAGCACAAGAACGAAGGTCGTGCAAAGAAAGACTGGAAATTTAACGGAATATGTTTCAATTGCGGTAAACGAGGCCACAAATCGGCGGAATGTAAAGAAAAGCGAGAGAAACAAAAGCAGTGCGAAACTCAAAACGAAGGACAACAGCAAAAATGCTCGTACGCCGTATACACAGCAATGCAAAAAGAACATGCAAAAAAAGCTAGTTGGTGTCTGGACAGTGGTGCCACTGCAGGCAAAGGAGTCGTAAAAATAAAAACGCATAATTGTGAAATTCTGTTGCATGATGTATTGTATGTCCCGTCACTGCATATAAACTTCTATTCGGTCAGCAAAGCGTTGAAAATCGGACATTCAGTTGTTTTCAAGAACAATCGTGCAGTAATCGATAATCATTCAGACGATGATATGGAGAATTCTGAGAGTTTTGGAGATTCTGATTCAACGAGCAGCCCTGATGAAGAAGTGGACATACGACGAGGCCCAGGCAGGCTTACGCTTATTCGAACTGGAAGACCTGGAAGGCCAAGGAAGCAGTACAACGAGCTTCATATTATGACAAACTATGACATGGAAACGCCAAATACAGCTAAGCAGGCGTTGCATGGCAAACATGCGTTTGAGTGGGAGGAATCTATGAAATGTGAGTACGATGCCCTCATCGCAAACAACACCTGGTCGATGGTTGATCTTCCACCCAATGCAAAAGTTATTGGATGCATGTGGGTATATAAAGTGAAAAGAGACAGCCAGGGTAATATTGAGCGGTTCAAGTCAAGACTGGTCGCTAAGGGTTGCAGCCAGCAATACGGAGTGAATTTCAGTGAAACATTTTCGCCAGTCATACGATATGAAAATATTAGAATGTTGTTGGCTGTAGCTGCAGAAAAAGAATTATACCTGCATCAAATAGACGTTTCAAATGCCTACCTCAACAGCGAGCTCACCGAGAGAGTCTATATGAAGCAGCCGGAACATTTTGTCAGCAAAGATTACCCAAATCGTGTTCTGAAGTTGAACAAAGCGTTGTACGGACTCAAGCAGTCAGGCAGAGCGTGGAACAGCACTCTAGATGACGCATTAAAAAGACTGGGATTTAAGGCCACACAAAATGAACCATGCATGTATACAAATATTTCTGAAGATTCGTACAATTTGATAGCTGTATATGTGGATGATTTAATAATAGCTTGTTCTAAACGCTCAGATCTAATGTACTTTATGATGTACTTTAAGAAGAAGTTGCAGGAAATGTTTGATGTTCACGACAATGGTCAGTTAAATCACTTTTTAGGCATTGAAATACAGCGTGAAGGAGATTTAGGTGCTATCTATTTGTCAGAAACAGTATATAAGGTGCCTACTGGTGAAATACGGCATGAACGTCTGTCGTCCTGTATCGACACCTTTAGTTCCTGGATTCCAAATAAGCTGCAACGAAGGTAAATGCAGCAAAGCAGACGTGACTGGATACCAATCAATAATTGGATCACTTACGTATCTGGCCATCTCAAGTCGGCCTGATATAGCTCATTCCGTAAGTAAGCTAGCGCAACGGAATACTGATCCGCATCACGAGCATGAGTCCGCCGCAAAGCACATATTGCGCTACCTGGCAAAGACAATTGACCTAAAACTCCATTATCGAAAAGCTGGTCAAGGATTGCACGCGTTTGTCGATGCAGACTGGGCTAATGACAGCCTGGATAGAAAATCGTATACTGGCTTCGGATTTAATCTTGGAGGTTCAGCATTTTCTTGGGAATCAAAAAAACAAGGAGTTGTCGCTCTGGCTCTGAGGCTCTGAGGCTGAATATGTAGCCTCATCAACGACGGCAAAAGAGGCAACATATCTACGACGACTACTGGAAGAGATTGAGTTTTATCGTCCAACAGAGCCCGTGCAAATCTATGGTGACAATTTGAGTGCTCAGCAAATTGCAGCTAATCCTGTACACCATAAGCGAACAAAGCATATCGATATTAAATATCATTACATACGAGAGGTTCTAGCACTAAAAATTGTTTGTATTAATTATGTTCCCACAAATGAAAATGTTGCAGATATCTTAACAAAAAATGTACAAAAAGAAAAGCATCAGAAATTTGTTAAATTGCTCGGTTTGGTTGAATAAGAAATACTGTATGTCAAATTAAAATATTAACTTGAGAAGAAGTGTTAAAGCTCAAGTTCAATTATGAATTATGCCATCACTAAGATTTATGAACCAGTTCACATATGTTCTTATTCTATGAACCTTTTGTAATTACTCTTCACTCTAAAATAAACGTTCGTCGTGTTCACATTGTTCGTCGTGTGTTCTCAGTTCTTATTTGGTTGCCTTATTATTACTTTGCCCTGTGCAGACTCTTTTACACTAACAACTCTACATATACGAACAATTTTATCAGCATCGGGACATTGTATAAAATAGCTGCCAAAGGAACGAAATTGTATAAACAACTTTTTTTTTTATCAAGAAATGTACCCTAAACTCGAAGTTTACAAGTTCATCTATGCGCCCTACATAGGCAAAATCTTATCATCATCGGACCAATATATAATTAAACTGCCGTAACCGACCGGTCAAAAATTAAACTTCTTTAATTTCCAAGATATCTGACCCAAACTCGCAATATATAAGTTTCAGTATGCTGTCTTCATATAAGAAAAATCTTATCAGCATCGGAGCACTATATAATATAGCTGCCATAAGAACGAGCGGACTAAAATTAGGTACTTATGTGAACAAAATTTTTGTTTATTAAGATATCTAACCCAAACTCGGAATATATAAGTCTCTCTATGCTTACTACATACGCATAATCTTATCAACATCGGACCATTATATAATTAAGCTGCCATATAAACGCCCAGTCAGAAGTTAAACAATTTTAATTATGAGATATCTGACCCAAACTCGGAATTTATGAGTTTTAGTGTGGCCCCTACATATATGAAAAAAAATTTTCAGTATCGGAGCACTATATAATATAGCGGCCATGAGAACGAGCGGACAAAAGGTAGGTATTTGTATGAACGACATTTTTGTTATTTAAGATATCTACCCCAAACTCGGAATATATAAGTCTCTCTATGCTCCCTACATACGCATAATCTTATTAACATCCGAAAATTATATAATTAAGCAGCCGTATAAGCCCCTTGTCAGAAACTAAACAATTTTAATTATGAGATATCTGACCCCAGCTCGTAATTTTTAAGTTTCAGTATGTTCTCTTCATATACGAAAAATCTTATCAGCATCTGAGTTCTGTATAATATAGCTACCATTGGAACGACCTGACTAAAAGAAGGTCATACATATATGAAAACAAATTTTCAGAATCGGAGCACTATATAATATAGAGGCCATGAGAACGAGAGGACTAAAAGTAGGTACTTATGTGAACAACATTTTTGTTTATTAAGATATCTAACCCAAACTCGGAATATATAAGTCTCTCTATGCTTACTACATACGCAAAATCTTATCATCATCGGACCATTATATAGTTAAGCTGCAATTGGATCGACTGGTCAGAAATTAAACTTTTTTCATTTCTAAGACATCTGACCCAAACTCGCAATTTACAAGTTTCAGCATGTCCTCTTCATATAAGAAAAATCTTATCAGCATCGGAGCACAATATAATATAGCTGCAATAAGAACGAACTGACTAAAAGTAGGTTCTTGTATAAACAACTTTTTTTTTTATCAAGAAATCTACCCCAAACTCGGAATTTATAAGTTTCACTATGCGCCCTAC